TTGTCAGACCCGTTTACTCTCCATAACGGAATACCCCAGGGGTCTCCCCTCTCTGTATCCCTTTTTATCACTGCTTTTAATGAAGTGAGCCATATAATTAATAAATATATAAATATTAATCATATCTGCTATGCTGATGATGTGTTGATTTTCAGTAAACTGAATGATTTAAATGTTGTTAAACGGGACTTCACAAATATTCTTAGGGATCTCAATATATGGTCCGAATCTTCGGGCGCCAATGTGGYTGTAAATAAATGCAAAAATTTCCACATTTGTCGCAAGCACAAATGTGATTACTTTACAATTATTTACAATCACAGCCCTATCTTAAACACTAATAGTCTTAAGTTCCTAGGTGTAATTTTTGATAAGAAACTTACCTTTAACGAACTCCGCCATTTATCAACAACTCTTTGCTGAGTCTACAACTTCTCTTCTCCCTGAATGGACTCTAATCTTCACGGACGGATCCAAAACCGAGACAAGTACATCATTCGCAGTTGTCGACGACAAAGGRGCAMCAATTAAAGTTGGAATCCTGCCAAGCTACGCCTCCGTTTACACAGCAGAGGCCGCAGCGATCCTCCACGCTATCATTTTCGCTTCAAATTCCAAATTGAAAGCAATTATTTGTACAGATAGCAAATCAACTATATCAGCGGTCTTAAATGTTATGAATCAATCTAACATCATTTCTTGCATCCGGGTCAAATTAGCTGAAAACAACGCCAACATAAAAATAATGTGGATTCCAGGCCACGCCGGCATACGCGGGAATGAACTGGCAGATAAACGCGCCAAACTAGCGGCTAGTGAACCGCTGGTTACGTTTGACTTTCTTGAGAATAAAGACTTATATAAGATGGCACAYCMAMACCAACTTAAATCGCTAATGGAGAGTTGGAGACACATCCAGCACCAATACACTBTRAWTAACCCAGATAGGAGCAAACCAACCTATCCACCAAACTGTCGATGTAACGATGTTAAATCATTTGTACGCCTACGTTTAGGGCACACAATAGCCACACATTCGTACTTCTTCAATCGGTCCAGTCCGCCTTACTGCTAACATTGCCCATGGGCTTCACTAACAGTACATCACCTGCTCGACGAATACCACCATTTCACAGGAATCAGGAGGACTATCTTCGATAAAAAAAAAACACCCACAACACTTTTGAAAACTACATCTCTCGAGAACGTTACAAAAATATCTGGATAAATGCAGTCTAAAACATTTAATATGACATCCTACCTAGCTTAGATAAGAACTTTGTTTTTGTTTTACTTAAGCATGTTTATAGATTTTATGAAGATTTTAAATATATAAAGCGTGGACAATAGAACTTAATTTTAGTCACCTAGCCTTAGATTCACCAGCGAGCCGAAGGTCCTGGCAGCCAGTGCTCCTTTTTTTCGTGTAAATAAAATAATTGTATTATTTTTTTTTTCACATTTACAAAGAAATAAATAAATATTTTTTACGATTGTTCTTAACCTTGATATACCCGCGCCAAATGTTCTAACACCTATACCCGCGCACGGTGTGACAGACCGTAACTTTGACTCCTCTTACCGGGTTATTTTTCTATAAAACCGTTTATATTTTGTTAATTTAAAAGGAACTATAGGATGTAATAAAACAAAAAATCTCAATTGTTAGCATAATTTTTTATTACTTTAATGATTATCAGTCTTTCCAAAACAGCTTAAAAAAAATATTTACGAAAAACTGTTTCGTCGGTCTCACAGTCATGTGTGCGGGTATAGGAAGGGTAAACGTCGTATGGAATTATTATCTTTGGCATTAAATTATCTTCTATTTCAACTAAAAAAACTAAGAAGTCAAGTTTGAACATATTTTTACACAACATAAAGTAAATTTTTTTTGGTCAAAAACCACTTTTTTTTTAATTTTTAAAAAATGTGTCAAATTTTACACTCTTTTGTAGAATTTTAGTTTAACTAGAAGATAAATTATTAAAAAATATGAATCTCTTTGAATTTTTTGTTTCCGATAGAAACTGCGACCTACACCTTGCCCGCCGTCCGACAAATGCTCATGCGAGATGCATCGGTTAATTGCTTCCCAAAGGCAGAATATCAAAGATTTCGTATCCAAATTTGTGAATGATGTTTAAAAATATGCATTTCCTTTAGCTGAAGTTGTTCCTATTATTTAACGTTATTCTGAAAGTTGCTGCGGTACTATATGTCGGCTGCGAATATTTTGCATTTTGCTTTCATAACCATTTATTTTTTTAATGTAATCAGTCTACATACATATATACATATATCATACTTGAAAAATTGTTAGTGGAAAGAGGTAATCAGTGTTAATTTCGGTGCGCATTTAACCAAAGGTAATACAAAAAAAAATTACAGAGCGCCAAAAAGGTCAAATTAAAGATCTCCCAACAAAACATAAGCTTACCGCTTCACAAATTATAGCGGAACTTGATCCCATTAAAAAACTTTGTGTTCAGAAAAATTTAAACACATCACAAAACGTTGTTTATAAAAAACAAGCATAAGCTCCGGCACTGACAAAAGCTCACAAAGATGCAAGGATACAGTTCGCAAAAACGCACATGAAATGGACGTCAGAATGGAAAAATGTAATTTTTTCTGACGAGAAAAAATTCAATCTCGACGGTCCTGATGGATTAAGTTCCTTTTGGCATGATTTCAAAGCAAAGGAGGAACCAAGGTTGAGCAGGAGCTTTGGTGGTGGAAGTGTTATGGTGGGCAGCCTTCTCTTATTATGGAATATCCAGAATATGCTATGTTCCAACAAAAATTAATAGCGAAATCTACACGGATATGTTGGAATCAGAGTTAATCTCATTTCTGGGGGACTGTCACCAAGAAGAACAAATTTTTCAACAGGATAACGCAGCTATCCACGTCTCGCGACATTCTATTTACTGGTTTGAAGACAAAAATATAGAATTGATGAAAGGGCCTGAACGCAGTCCAGACTTAAATCCCATCTAACTGAAAAGGGCTATTGAGGGTAGCTGGGAAAAATACATAATAATATTTTAAAAATACTTATAGAAAGTATGACAAATCGCATTTAATAAAATAATTTTTAATTTAATTTTAATAAAATGTAATGGAGGCAAAATAAAATATTAATTATTTACTAACTTTTTTAAGTTTGTCTCTATTTAGTATTATTGAAACATTCGTATAAACGAAATTCGCACCTGTTTATCGTAATATCACTATTATATTAGCAAAAACACAATGAAATTCGAAAACCTTTGTTTTGTTTAATAATAAAATATATATTAAATTAGTTGTGAAAGGTTTATTTTCTTGTTTGTACATTAAATGGGTAGAAATTTAAAAAAAAATACATTCAGCTAAACAAAATGGACGCACTGTGTAACTATAAACCCTAGAAATTGCGCTTTAATCAATTATTTCTTTCCCTCCCAAAAAAATCCTCAAAAAAATAGATTTTTTGAAGCCACTAAAGCAGGCTCCCCCCTTAACTCAGGGAGCATAATACATTATTTGTATGTGTATTACCAAAAATAGATAAAATTAGGTCTATACGTTCCTTAGATCCCATATACGTAATATAAAAGTATAGTCATAACATTTATTTTCGAGCTGATCGAGATGGTGGAAATGCATCCTTTAGCATATCAGTTATGGCACGCAGTATAGCGTATCATTGTTTATTTACGTGTATTTCGAATGTGTTTACCTCACAAACATCAACACTGAACTGACATTAGAGGTCAATTGCAAAATATGTAGCATCGTCTGATTATCTCCTAACGACCCTGAATATTATGTGTATAGGTTTGTTTACATATAATATAGTGTTTACTTAGATATATTTCTTTTGTCTAAGATAAGGTTATTTTGATGTTTGTTTGTTTAGGATATTTTGATAAGATAATATTAAAAGAAATACATTCCTTAACTCTCCCCTCAGCGCTCATTTCAAATGATTGATTATTATTACTACTCTTTTTTTATGCTTGTAATTATATTTTTTTAATTATCGAGCAATTATTTATTTAATTTTTTTTTCGCTGATATTATCATTATTAATTAATTTTTACATTATTTTTCATGTTTTATTTTCCCTTATGATTTCTGAGTTTCATTAATATACCTTACATAATGACCTATATATCAAACAGAACTTAGCCATTTTTAGCACCAGAATATATTATTACCAGGAAAGAAGTTTCATATTCTAGAGATTGACCCGTTTTTTGGTACAAATAAAATACAGCCATAAGCACAAAATTCGACAATTTCGTCATCTGGAGGTTTGATAACTTATGACCATGATTGATTTAGAAGATTTTTTTGTTACGTTTTATTTTAAGATAATCAGAAATGAGAAAATGGAGTTCGGACCAATGTATAGACAGTTCATTCATATTCAGCACAAAACCGTTAAGAAACTTGCACACCTAATTCCATTAAATTATGACATACATTGGAACTAAGGGAAGATCTAGAATGATTGCATTAACTTTTCGCATCACTCGTTATATACTTGAGGACATGGTATCACGTAGTATCATACAGATAGCTGACACACTGACCGACGAATACGGCTGAATCCCTGCTAGAAAATTTTGTATATTAGGTAGGGAAATATTTACACGATTTTATCCAATTTAGGCGCAAGGATACACTGCTAATAGGAAAAGACGTTCTCTGAGTTTCATTAACCTTTTAGTGCCGTTCGAAATAGAGGTGCCTATGCGAAAAAAAACCGGCCGAATTTCACAGTTTAACAAGTGTTCGGAAAAATGCTTTTAAAAACCAACCGAGATACAATATTCACATGATTCAGAAAGCTGCATATTGTGGATGAAACATAGAACTAAACAATGACACTAGGTTTTTCGAACTCATTTCAAAATTATAGAAAAAACAAAGGTATAAACGTTTGTAAATGAAATGAATTTGAAATCTCTTGCAAAAAACGTATTTGCACATACAAACAGTCATTTTTTCATCATAATTTTATATGGGTCAAGTATTATAAAGTATGTACAGTGGACCAATAAAGTTTACATACACCCTTTATTCTTAACTAAAACATGTTCGCACATACATTTTCTAGTCTCATTCGACTGATTTTTTTTTGCTAAATAGATAAATAAACATTCGTGCATTGTGATGCATTATCTTAATCCCGTTAAATTTACCCCTATGCTTGGCATTGT